GGCAAAGATCGTGCGGTGACAGCTTGGGAGGTGATTTCGGGGCGGGAATTGGTGGGGCTCAGGGGTGCGGAGCAGGGTCGGGGTATTGCAGCTCCCTGGAAGCTTTCCAGCTCCGTGAAACGGGCAAACGGGGAGGCTTAGCCCGTGGGGCGAGCAGGCTGTAACTGTTTATCCAGCTGAAATCTTTTGGCTTCCTCTTATCTCCTGATCTTGCTTTCGCAGCTACTGTGCCCTGCAGTGATTCTTACAGCCGGGGGAAGGTGCCACAAGCAGTGCATCAGCCCCGTGGCAAGAGCAGCAGCTGCTTCCAGAAATAAACCTTTAGGCAAGGTACCCCTCTCCAATACCCCCCCGCACAGCTCAGGGAGAGCAAAACCAGCATGCTCTCCCGGGCAGTCTGCCGGAAAAGTTCCCGTAGTTATTGCAAATGGACCTTCTGACCTTCGAGATGAACAAAATTGAAAGAATTGGCCAGTTAACGTGTGTCCTGCTGCTGGCGGGTTGGTGTGTGGGCAAAAAGACATCTGCTCCCCATGTTTCCTTGTCTAACTGCTCTTTTAGTGCCATGAAAACTTGTGATAAACTCACCAAAACGCTCAGCAAATTTCCTGGAGTTCCTGCTTTCTGGTATATGCAGGAAGGGTAGAAAATAGTGGTGAATTAACATATCTACAAAAATGTGAGAAATGTAATTGCTTCCCTGCTTTTGAAAGAAAAAAACCCCAACAGATAGTTCCCTGATATTCCATATGTAAGGGATATTTGAGGTTCGTGGAAATAAAAATAATTTTCAGTCTGCTAAGTTTAAATTTCAAATTCTGTGTTAGCTACACTTTGTGTTCTGTATTTTCCGTCGTTCATTTGCTCTAGTTAGTACTGTCAGATTTCGTTCATTCTAGCATGCTGGAATACCCCAGACAAGGCATAAACTTGGAAAATGCATATTTCTGGGATTTGAGTGGGTTCCTATAGCTTGGTTCCATGTCCAAATCATTAAGCCCTGCAAGACTTCAGCCAGTTTTATGTGACACTGGCCAAACTGTCTCAACACTCAAGTTTGAAGCACATTAAATAGGCCGTGACCGTAATGGAAAAAGGTCTGGTTATTTCCCTTCTCTCTTTTTAAGCATATATGATAAAAGTCCAGCTCAAGGGCTGTAAATGAAATTAATAAGAAGGGGTATTATTTTGCTCCAGAGACGCCGAAGAACACATAAATCTTCATCAGCTTGGCACTTTTGGGTAACAACAGCATCCTTGCTTCTGACAAGGCACAATATTCAGAACTGGTATTTAAGCCAAGGCAAATTGATACATGTGTGAGTGGAGTATCTTGCCCTGCTTGAACTCTGCACGCTTGCAAACTGTGCATCTTTGCCTCAGCAAAAACTGTTTGAAGGTGGAATATTTGCTATAGTGCAGGTTTGTGTAATGCAGTAGAGAGAAAGCCATGCTGGCACTAGTCAGCCTCTAAGAGAAGCAGGTAAATGGACTCCCGCACTCTCTTGTATAGCCTGGTTATGTGTGAACTACCTGGTTTAGAGCAAACTTGGTTATATCCACACTGAGTTGCAGTGGGAATATATCCAGGACACTGTGGGTGAAGTAAGAAACTCCTCTTTGTTACTAAATGCAGTTTCATGAGACACTTAATTCACTGGGCTCTTTAGTTAGTCTGGGAGGCAGAGACAAAAAGAAGTGAAGGGATTTATGAAGAAAATCCATAAGACTTTAGTGAGGTCTGTGCATCTTGGAATAGGTCAACTGCTTAATCTTTTGGATGTGTATTATGAAAAATTAAGAAATTATCTTGGTTTGACTAGAAGATTTTAGCAGTAAGAAAAGAAACCAGCGAAATGGAAAAATGAGTATGATTAATGACACAATGTTGGTAAGGGTGATACAGCACAAAACCGTGGAGCCCTTTTATTGCTGCTTTTTGTTGTGGTGTTTCTCAAAGGATAAAAGAGCAGAATTAGAGAATGAGGTAATTTAGAAAACAGGAGCAACAATCTTAAGACTGGAATTTTGGGGTGAATTTGGCAAAATGTGGTTGAATTTTGGAGACTGTAAAAACAGCTGGTGTTGCAATATCATGAAATAACCAGGTACTTTCAGTAGATTATTTTGCAGAGAAACTGCTTGCTGATTTTTGGGTTCATCGGTGATGGCAATCGTGCATGGAATCTAAACCCACTGTATGTTATATATATATGGCTCAGTGTTAGTCATGCAGTTGCCCAAACCTGTGTTATTTTGGAGTAGAGGACAGCAATTCTGTAGCAGTTTGGTCAGAGATATTAGCTAAGCAACTTCATTTTGTCACACAACTGTTTTTAATAAACATTTGCCCAGAGTAACCCTGGGGCTGGAATGCAGCAAAGCACCGATTCTGGTCTGTTTAGGATGACTAAATGAAATTGGATGAAAGATGGCACAAAAGCAGGCATGTAAGTTGAAGGCACCGATGTACAAAAGCAATTTTCTATGGTTGGAGAATCTTCAGTGGAAGTTCCTGTCCTACAGACTGAATTCACAGCTCGCCTCAGCTGTGCTTCAGGGCTCCAGCTGCCCCCTTCATGCTCTGCCAAAGCAGTTGCCTTCTCTTCTGCTTTTCTGCATCCTGTCCTTTCTGTCCCCAGCCCTGCCTAGGGGCTACCACACCACTGCTTTTTCATACTCCTATCTTTAAAAGAGATCAGTAACACCAGGCCTGTGCTTATGAATTGTGTCCTTGCATTCATACTTCCAAGTACTAAGGAGAAAAACAGAAAGTTCTCTGGTGTCACTTGAGGAAATTATTCCTGTCTTAGTTAATTTGGGAGTGGAGTTCTCTACCCAGTGAATAAGAGGAACCAAATTTTTCTTTTAAGTGGTCAGATTTAAAGGAAAATGTTCTCTTTTGACAAATTGCACAACAAAGATGATTCTGGTCTGCTGATAACAAAGGTCTTTTTGGCACCTGGATGTCCAGGAAGATGTAAACATCACTAATATTTGGGTTAAGAAGAGGGGGGAGAAGAAAGGCAAGGCAGCTAGACTCTGCTTGAGGCATATGATGGAGATTCATTCGATTTTGTATTATGGAGCTTGCATACCTCTAGTAATCACAATAGTGGAAGTCAGAGCTTTTCCATTTGCCAGCTGAAATAAGATCTCATGTAAGAGCATAGGGCAAACACAGGAAGAAAAAGGTCGACAAAACTCGAGGAAATAGAAAGTGAAACCAGCCATCCTTGCTATTGTGGTTCCTCCACAGTGAATGAATGTCTTGCTGTGCACAGCAGATTGAGGTTAGTAACACAGAATTTGTTTTTCTTACATCTTCCTACTTTCGTGCATTTGCAGGACGCCTTTGTATCATTCCACGTTGACAAGGTGCTGGTGAGCAAGTACTTGAAGTCACTGGAGATTGGGGAGCTAGCACCAGATCAACCCAGTATTGAGCCCACTAAAAATGTAAGTCTGTCCTTGTAAATTGGATCAAAGGTAGATTAAAGGGAAATATTCTGAGATTACACTTTGTTATTCTGTATCAACATAGCTCCTGGAACAATGGGATCCAGGGTCTCCACGAGTTTTTTGTGCCATTACTTAGAAACAATACACGAATATTAGTTGAATTATTTTGGCCACTCCAAATGTTTTATTTTTCCTATTCCAGGTCCAAGCTTCATGGTTACAACATGATTTGGGACATCTTTCAGTATTCAGGAAGACCAAGTGGAACCACTTGCTGCATAAGTTTGTGATGTGCCATTTGATTGTAAGTACTTGTCCCTGGAGAACTACTTAGATTTCATGACTTTCCTGTAAGAGTGTGTGTTCTGAAGACTCTGTGGAAGACAATGGGTTCAGCAGTGGGTGAAGGAGGGAATCGGAGAGAATCTGGCTCTGAAAGCATTGTACTTCTCATACTTTGTTCTTCACTAAAACAGGGGGCATCAGCCAAATGGTGGACTCTTCTGCACTTCCAGCACCATGCCAAACCAAACTGCTTTGAGAAAGATCCTGATATTGATAGGCACCCTTTCTCGTTTACTTTGGGGAAGCAATTATCTGTGGAGGTCAGTGTCTGTGTGCACATTCGTGTACCAGGAACTGGGAAGAACACTTTAGTCAACAAAAAGCATGCTCTACCATAAAGATCTAAAACTAAGATGTGATGACAGTTTCTGGAAAAAAATGTTTTCATCTGTGTCTACTTTCTTCAACCTTTGTAAGCAGGTCACAGCTCACGTTAAGTTCCTTAAAAAAAATCTTGAACAGCTGACAAGTATTTGTAAATAAATTAGACATGATGTATATGCGTTATATATAGGGTGGAAAATCCATCAGCAAAAAGACTATTAAAGGTTATAGCGACTTAATGACCTAGTAGAACAACTCAGTAATTAGTGATTACTAGATAACTTGTAAGCATTAATACAAAGCATGTCTGCAGTTGGTCTGGGATTGTTATTTCAATACTAATGCCTGAGGCTCAGAGATGCAGGTAGCTTTGTCCTGTTTATGCCTTCTAGGCAAAGGCAGAGCCCTGCTGTGGAAGGCAGCAGGACTGAGTAGCCAAGGCTGTGGCTCTGTGGGTTGGGGGCACGTCCCTCTAAGTGGGCACAAGCCATTTGACCACCTGGGATGTTCTCAACGGGTGCTGCTTGGCCACTTTCAGAAGCAACAACCTGAGACAACGTTGAACCCCTTTTGCTGTACAGCTTCACTGAGACTCTGCCAGAGTAGCTACAGCAGTGAAATATTTTTCTCCTTGGAAGACCTTTTCCCGCATGAAACTGTCATTTAATTGTACAGAATCAGAGAAGGGAGGGGGGAAGAGAGAAAATACATATGACTATTTTTGACCGATAATATAACTTAGCCTTGAAGTACTTAGTATTTCACAAAATGAATTATGAGTGTGGTAAGAACACAAACCCAAGGAAATTCACCAGTTAAAATTCACCTCTATCCACCCTCAAAAATATTTTTATCAAAACTTACAGATCAATTTACCTTTTAATGGATGAAGCATTCTGCTATAGTTTTTATCACTTCATTCTGTTCCAACCCGGACAGTGGTGGTATCTATGGCAGCAGTTTCCTTCCTACCATATACCAGTGTAGGGTGGTTTTTTTTTTTATAGGCTTTTACCTCTGTTTTGGCTTGTCTTATCTAGAACTACTTTTCAGCAATCACTTATTTATTTTTCCCTACTGGAGAAAAATCTCATGCTTGGTTAACAGTTTACCTCTGAGGACTTGACAAAGTTGTAAGGCATTAAAGCCTTACGTTAATGGAATGAGGGTTTACAGAAAGGGTGTATGATGGATGTAAACTAATAGGACAGCTACACGAGAGTGAGACAGTAGGAATGAGGGTTGTGGGAAGTGTGCAAGAAGAGTGCCTCTGGGGCAGAATGAATGGAAAACAGCAAGTTACCTGGGCAGATTGCTTAAGTTTCACCTGAGGGTTTTTTTGCTGTTTCTTCTCACAGCTTGGGATCAAAGAGAAAAAATACGTGCCATACAATCACCAACACAAATACTTCTTCATCAGTGAGTATCTCCATTCTCCTGCAATACCATGAGGGGTACTAATGGGGCTTATAGGTCTTACTTTTGACCTGTAGGGCTTGAGCAGAACTAAGGTGCCCACATCAAAGAGCGTAATAATCAGTTTGCATCTGATTTTTGGAGGAGTTGAAGACCTGACTAAATAAACACCTGAGTAACCTGTTCTGACCTTAGAGCTGATGCTGCTCTAAGATTCTAAGGTCCCTTCCAGCCTGAATTATCATATGATCCTATGTGAGATCAGGTTTCTGTGTCCGTCTTGACTTGAAACACATTCATTTGCCTTGAGAATTTCTAACCAAATGGCTTGTTTGTTCCAGGGTAGAAAAAGTGTAGGGTACCCAGGTCGTCTTGAAACTGTACGGCTTTGCAAAAACAAATCTACATCTATTTTGACAGAGAAAAGGAGAAAGACTCCTAACTCACTAATTAAGGATGTTACCTGTGAGAGTGTGATGAGGGCTCCGGGGACTGTTTGTGAGCCGGACAATGTATGGCTAATAAAGTGCATAAGCAGAGCAGAGGAAAAATTCAGAATTTCTCCACTGTTGGTGCTCTGATCTCTAGGTTGACACTCCTGCCCCTTCTCCCCATCTTAGTGAAGCTTTGTCACTTTTGCAAAGCAGCACAACTTCAACACAGAACAAGGAGATATCACCTCTTGCATCTCTCCAGAATAGTTGGGGGTTCTGCTTGCCTGTAAAGAGAACAATATGAATTTGAACCTTAAAAAACGGGCACTTTTAAGGTGTGATTCATTTGACCCGTTTTCTCCCTTGAGCTCTCAGGATGGCAGGAGCTGCCCTCCAGCAAGGGCTCTTCTCTCACGTGGCTAGAGAGAACCAGCAGGGCTAGTTCAGATATGCTTATCTCAGATATGCAACTCAGAAATGCCTAGTTAAGGAAGGTGATCCCATGTTAGTGTGTCATACCACGTCTTTCACTAACACTCATATTTAAAGAATAGTCCATGGGGGTTTTTTTGTTGGTTTGTTTTGTTTAAGTACAAGTGAGATGTCCCTTTGGAAGGTTGAGTTTGAGGTTTTCTTGCAGCCCAAAATCCCTAGTAGGCAAGGGATTTCATATGTATCCTTGTTCCCATGCTTTGAACAACTGACTGGGGAGCCAGATAAGCTTTGAGGCTGTGGAAGGTACTTCTCAAAATACTCCTCTGTGGCTATTCCTCAGTTACAAGCCTGAAATGAAATCTCAGGTTTGTAAGCACTGTTGGATTAACAGACTTGATCAGGTTGCTCAGAACTCCATATAGCATCCTAACCAGTATCTACCAGTCAGTTGCTTTCTTGTGAAGTGGTTACTGTGGTACTCAAAAGGATTACTAAGTTTCTGGGGTCTTGTTCTCCTTACTTTTCAGGATTCTCCACACACCTTTTTGTTTTCACTCTTTTCTAAAAGAAGCTGTGGTCACAGCTCTCTATGAGGAAACCGAAGGCAATGCTACCTGTGCTGACAGATGACATGAGCAGTAGCAGACTGTCATGCTGAGGAGCAGGAACTGTCCCCATCAAGCTTCAGAAAGCTTCTTGTCTTACCTTTGTTCTACCTCTGGAGGTCAGCAGGCTCCCGGGTTGCTTACTGTTTGCCTGCACTGATGCGTACTGATAGCACCCAGACAATTCTACAGCTCTGAAACTGCTCAGAATACTCTTCATATTGAGTAACTGTTTAGGGATCCTTTGCTTCCAGTTTGATTATCTGTCATCCAGTCCGTGACATCACCAGTGATAATGAATTCTTCCTTACAGCTCTTCCTCCGCTCCTGTTTCCCACCTACTTCCACTACCACACGTTTTACATTGAATGCACAAAAGGGTGTTGGGTGGTAAGCACTGCTGCTTGTGCAACTAAGAAGGGGTCAGTCGTGGGTCTTCAACCTTTCTTCTGCACATGGAGCCAGCTTCTGTCCAGAGCTCAGCCCCTGCCGTGTGACACTGTCGTTCAGTTCGATCTAATACGATGGTCAGTTTGGTGCAGTATTTTCAGTGGCCCTGCACACTTTCTGCTAAACCTGTTACATTCCCCAGCTTGATGATAAATGTCTGAAAACAAGCAAGAGGCTGTTGGGATTGTACTGCTTCGCTTCATTTGCAGAACTGTGGAGTGCACTGTCTCCGTAGTGGTCAGGAAGGGAAAGATGTGAATTTACGGGAACCGTTGTTGATCTGTTAGCAGTATGCATATACTTGGCACTACTTCCTATGCCAAGCAGCCAGAATTAGTGCTTCATTCTTCCTACTCTTGCATGTGTTATGCATACAGGAGGACGGAGCAACTTCCAGCTGAAATGAGATCACTGATCTAGCCGTTGGTTCACTGTGGAGTCCTGGGCAATAATTTAATACAAGTCTTCCACTCGTATTTCTGAGTGCATAGTAATTTGCTGATATATTAATCTACTTATTGGGTAGCTTATTGAATGCTCAGATTCATCTCTGTTACAGCAAGCCCTGAAAAAAAGCGTTATTAGCTTATGTTAACTTGGATTGCTCCAGATGATTTCATTTAGCAAAAAGTTACAGAAGCTGAATGTAGATTGTTTTCTTGTACATATAACATGAAGCTTAGAAAAATATTTCAGCGAATGTAATTTATAATTATTTTCTTTTCTTCTTGTCTCTGGTTTTGGTAGGATTTGGCCTGGATGCTGACCTTCTATATCAAATTCCTTTTTTACTTATGGATCATTATTCGAAATAAAGAGTCTCCTCGCTTATTATTTTATATTCAGGTGATATCTGTTTAGAAGGTTCCTCAGCCTTCCTCTACGTATTCTTTCCATCTGTGCCTGCCTACTTTCTCTGCCTTTGCTTATCTTTCCATGTTCTCATTTACCATCTCATTTTTTGCTTAGTTTTTCAATTTAAGTTAAACTAAGAGTCTTCTGCTCAATTTTTATGTCACCTCATTGGCTCTGGCAGCAGAGAGACTTCATTGAGTGCCGACCAAATTGAAAAGTACTTTCCCTCCATAACATTCAGTGCCTTGGGTGTGGTCTGGTTAGAGAAAGAGAAGGTTTCACAGAAACAGCTTAGCCTGGGCTTGCAAATGCCCAGGCATTACAGCAGCATTGGCTTGAATGGACAATATGTTCTCCACTTGGATCACTTTACTGATTCTAATCAGTTCAGTTTGGTCCTTGGCTACAGATAAAACCAGATGAACACCAGGCTAAGTCAGTTTTATAACAAAACATATTAAATAATCATGAGTTTCATAAGGAAGTATGAAAATTCCAGGTTTTGGAAGTTCTTCTGGGTGCTGGATTAGCAAGACCAGTGTTCAGCTGTGTGTTTGTAAATCTGGCTGTTCTGTTATTTCAGTGGCTCATCATTGACTTGCTTGCCTGTTACTGAATTCTGGCCTCTTGTCTGATTGCACAGGATGCTGGAGAGTAGCTGGTTTGTCTGGGTTTCGCAGATTAACCACATCCCTATGGATATCTGCTATGACAAAAATTTGGACTGGGTGTCTGTTCTTAAGAACTGTGGCCATAAAAGTACAAATGCAAACTATAAGACCAGCAAGTCCTCTATTGCATTAACCTCTATTGCATTAACCTCTATTGCATTAACCTCTATTGCATTAACCTGTTGGGAACTGGGAAGTGAAGGTTAATAGGATAACAGGATTCAGTTATGGTTAGCAGTAAAGGAAGACAGCGATGACAAGTTCATGGTCAATCTAAAATCAAAGCTAGTCCCAGCTCTATTTCCTAAACATACCTACCTCTTCACTTACTGCACCTTTCTGTCTTGAACCTTTTCTGCTCATGCAGAGATGGAGGTTTGTGTCCTGCTCTTGCTGAGCAATTTCACACTAGCAGAATGAAAGTCTGGTGTCCCCTCTTTGCAGAGAGACTCAGTGGAGTCCAGCAGTAAAGTCTGACCACCACAGAAGTACCCTACTATCTTTTTTTTTCTGCAGACATAGGTTTGAGAAGATCCAAGAGGAACTTTTGACTGTCTGTTCACTTGCATTCACAAGAGCACATAGCCAAGTCCTAGTTTTATTATGAGCCATGTTAGCCAGACTACATAGCTCTGCTGGTCCACGAAGCTGAAGAAGGATTATGATCCCTAGCTTGAGGTAGCTAAACTTAGCCTAAAAGAAGACAATAGACCAAAGCAGCACAGCATACTGTGCTCTTTAGACAAATGAGAAAGGCTGTGGACACTGATCTGTATTGACTTTGCTTTATTTCCCCTCCTCTAGCTCCAGGCAACATGCAATGTTGAACAGTCTCTGTTCAATGACTGGTTTACTGGGCATCTGAACTTCCAGATTGAACATCAGTGAGTATGCACCCTGAGAGAGAATTTTCTTCTTTTTCTAAATTTTTTTTAAATTCTTTTCCCTATTCTTCTTTGCTCTGAATTCTACAAATAATTAAAAAGTCTTAAAAAGACTGAAAACCCTAAAGAGAATCATAATGTAATTCAAAACCTTCACTGGACCCTCAGGAAGGTGAGAATGACTAGCTTAAACTCAACATGGGCAGGATCTGTGAAACCATACAGACAGCAACAGCGTCTAGCTAAAGTAGTGGCTCATAAGCATTAGTGAAAATGTACATGCTAAGCCACTAAGTCTGACACAGTAGTTTAAGCCTGCCTATACTGACTACTTACACTATTAGGCTAGAGACTGAGATCTGTAACTGAAATATGGGGTCATCTCCTTTTCTCTGCTATGGAGATGGTTACTTCTGGAGGAAGGGGTGGAGGAGGGGGGGGGAAGTAGTTTCTTCCGGCTTATGGCATCACTTAATTTGGAGAAGTGTTGCTTCAGAGATGGTAGAGCCAACTGTGGAAAATAACAGATGGGGAAAGCAGGAAAGTCTTAGGAGTTACTTGTGCTAGAAGTACACCAAGGGGAAGGAAGAGCCAGGAGCAACTAAAGACCCTACTCAGTGTGAGCTGGGTGATTTCTGGGAAGTAATAATGCATGTGAACGGTAAGATATTTTACGGAGCAGTGAAGAGACTTTGTCTGTCTCCTGTTGACAGCCTATTCCCCACAATGCCAAGACACAACTACTGGAAGGTGGCTCCTCTGGTGAAGTCCTTGTGTGCCAAACATGGCATTGAGTACCAGTGTAAGCCGTTACTCACGGCTTTTGCAGACATTGTGCAGTAAGTAACAACTGGCAAAAAAATTGTAGAGGGATGTAGGAGAGACTGGAATCCTAAGAATGAGAGTTGGCTTGTTCCTCTCCTACAAATCAACACACAGAAATCCTTATTTCCCTTGTCCCCACCAACACTCCCCTAAGCAACCCTGCATAATGTGGCCTCTTGGGCTCTTTCTCTCTCAGCTCTCTGAAGAATTCAGGAGAACTCTGGCTTGATGCTTACCTACACAAATAACAAGACAATGCTTGAGGGTACCATTCACAGTCTGCCACAACTTTGCATTCCCAGCAAGCTGAGGAGCAGGGACCACTTCCATGACAGAAGAAAATGGATAAGAACAGATGGATATGATTCCAATAGATATGAAGTTACTTGAATTCTACTTCTGGTCTTCTAGTATCTGGTTCAGATGGATGGTTAGAACAGGGAGAAACTCTATGATAACTGTCTCTGAGTAAATATGGTGAAGAGCATTTCTAAGCCTGAGTATGTGTTCAGGTCAGATTATGGACTGGTGCAGCTGCACACACTTCATGTTAGAGTCCTCTGACCAGTTGGGGTTTTTTTAGGCTTTCCTCATGTGGAGCATTTCATCTTAACACAGTGTTTGCTTATTTGAAGTCACGTGAAATTGCACAGGATTCTGAATTACCATGGTGTTCCAGCACTGCACTGAAATCATAATAAATTATAATAAACTACATACCACACTTGGAGTATAGCAATTGCAATGTTAAGTTGAATAACAACATAAACATGTTTCCCATTACTGTTCTTTAGAGCATCCTCATCATCACAATGCCAGGCAGCCCCAGTTGTCAGGAAGAGATACATGGGTTGAAACCAGCTCAAGCCCACTGCTCTCTTCAAAGTTTCTTTATTCGTTGTTTGGTTTTTGTACTTTGAGTGGGGCTGAGCCATGTGTATGCTCCCCATGCTGGTCTGGTTGAGTTGTTTATAACCATGAGGTCTCCACTGTCAAGTCTGTCCCCCAAAGTGCTCTTAAAGACTTGATGCCTGTGCTCCTTCATGCCTCATCCTTTGTCTTCACTCCTCAAAGCTCCTACTATTATACCAGATCTTTATTTCATTATGTTAACAGACAGCTATACCCCATTCTACATAGAGTTCTGCTATTTATATAAGACTGTGATCATACTAAAGAAAGATAAACCAAAAGGAATATAAATTAACCACAGACGTTTGGTCAAACAGAAAAGTTGCTGTTGCAGCTAAAACAAACAACACAAAGTGTCAGACAGGCCAGTAAAAGATCAGACTGAGAAAGTCTGACAAGCCTCAGTTCTGAGGCCTTGCAAACTCTGTACAAAGTTGAGCCATTATTTGGCTCCACATAATTCATACAGATCATAAACCTGTTATCATCACTAAATTGCACTTAAATTGGTAGACAAAAGTTCACAATTTCTGCAGTTGAAGAACGTTTAATCAACTTCATGATGGGGAAGTTTTACTTCTTCATCACCCTCTGAGTCTGCAAGTGAGCTTTACTCACCTGGAGCTTGAGGTTTGCAGGCACTGCTGAGCAAGACTTTTCTGGCAGGTTGTGTTTCTCAGCTCCTCGGGCTTGCCTCAGAGCCTGTGGCATTTACATCACACCTTGACCAGATGCTAGTTGTAGATGAAGTCACAGCAGGCAAGGTCACTTGCTTAGATACAAAATGACAGGGCTCTACCAAAAAGTACAGAACAATAAGCTAATGCCTAATATAGTTCCATGAATAAAAAATATTCTTGATTAGTGTCAGGTTCACAGTATAAAAGCAGATGTAATACATACATAAGCTGTATTACTGCAAGAAGTGTATTCCTAAACGAGTTTTGTCCTGGTACAAGTTTGCAGTTCTTTGTCAGGGACAAAGTTACACAAGTGGTTGCTACACTTAACTCATACAGGCATTTGCCTAAGACACAGGCATCCGCTTGGGTGGTAAATCACTCCATCACTCTCCCCAGAGCCTCCATGGCGTGTAGCCTCTGTTTAGCTGCTCTTCAGAGCATCCCTTTTCTGTGTAGGTCTTTGTTTGATCTGTCACATTTCACAAATCTGATCCAAGCTCATTAATAAACAAAATAGCAAATTTTCTCTTGGAAGGAATTTTTTGAGGATATCTAGAGAAGGAAGCATTAGTAAGTAGGTGAAAGTCAGCCACTATTATTAGTAGAAAATATTCAGATTAGTTTTCTCTAGCCCATAGTTATATTGATAGCTATTAGCCATAAAGCTGAAAATAATATTATCCACTAGTATACATGAGTAATAAACCTAGAAGTAACACAACTGAGCTCTCGGAACTGAGCTCTCTCAATCAAATATGGATTGTTGCTTTTAATTTTCTATTAAGAAATTGTTCTGGTTTCTTTATTTGTGCTAGGAGAAAAAAGAGTGCTCGTATTCCCTCCTCTTTAATAAAGAGGCAGCACCAGAACAGACACAGTGTCTAGCACACAGCCAATACTATATTTCTCTCTTGCTAGAGAAGCTGTGATTACTAGGACTAAGGGTGCCTACATTTCTGGTACATATTTTACGCTGTACAAAAGAAACTTGAAACGCATACAAGTTGCTTATCCTAGTGTGTGGGAAGGGCGTACATATTCACATGTATGCCTCTAGATGAATACCATCTTCAGTTATGCATCTGAAAAGCCAACTGAGAGTCTTGTGGTGGCTAAGCATTGGAAACATGCAATGTAAGTCATAAAAAGAGCTGTGGTTTGAGAAATCTGTAAACGAGCCTACTTTTGTCTTTTTTCCTTCTCCAACCCTTGGCCGGTAGGGCAGGGAAATGACCTATCTGGGGAGAAAGATTTTGCAATCTACCCTGTCCTTTGGCAGCACACAGAAGACTCTAAAATAGACACCAAAGAGAAAAACAGATTTGTGTTAAACTGGAAACTGCACTGAGAGCTCTGGGTCTGCCAGTGCTGGTCAGGCAGGGCCAGAAGAACTTCTCCCCTGGGCAGAGCAGTACGGGAATGGAGGATGCTCCTCCCTACTCCAGGAAGAGGTGGGGTAAGGCACAGGTTCAGGCTGTATGGTTGAATTTCTGCTGATGACATGTTGAAGGTCTTACAAGGAAAACAAAATACAGACCTTCATATTGAGGTCTTTTAGTTGTGCCCAGGCTGTAATGCTAATGGCCATAACCTTAAACCCCAACACTAGCCTAAGAGGCCCTAAACTTAAAGCTAACCTTAACAGCTCTAACACTAAGTCTAACCCTAGTCCATTCAAACAACTAGACTGGACGATTTTTTACTAAATTAAGTAATATGCATTTTTTACTTCCTATGCCTTAATACATAGTGGGGGGTGTTATATTACATTTTTGGAGCTCATCCATGCTTCGTTACAGAAAGTCACATCACATTTCTAAGCATCCTAGGAAGTTTTGGGGGGCAGTAAGATTCCATGCTTCCCAGTGAGGTTTACAGCTCTGGAAATGAACCCAAGATTTGGGATTATGCAGAAAATCAAGTGAAGAAGGTGGGACAAGAAAGCAGGGAAAAAGGTAGAGATGAATACTTGCTTATGCAAGTCTGGCTTGCAGGAACCGCAGCAACATGAATTCATCATGACGCAAATCTGCTCTCGCTCCAGACTACATGCTGGCTACTTTTTAAATCGGTGTCACACAAGGCTGAGTGCCAGCCTTACACGCTATAACAAAACAAGAGTACAGGATCAAGGCTTTAAGTGAGACACAGACTTTTGTGTGTCACATCTTACTAAGGCAAGGCTTATTAAGCTCAAGATTATTAAGGCAGTTTTGAGAGTTCAAGAGTAAACGGAATTACCTGAGTAGACTAAGATTTTGGCTCTGCCAGGCAGAAGGCGAGTCAGAGAAAGAGGCTAATCTAGGTACTTTGAATCACCCTTGAGAGGAGACAGTATCTTTCCGTTAATTAGTTAAGACTGTGTTCTTTGTCTGAAGTGAGTACCTTCACAAGTACATACCCTGAAATAAAAAGACTAAATTTTGGAGGGTCCCTTTTCCAGGGTCCCATTCAGGACAAAAAAATTCATTTGAGTATCAGCAGTTAAGACCACTTTCTTCCAACAATGAAAGTGATGAGGTTAATAAATAGAGATCTCACCTGGTAGAGAGATATAAGCAAGCCTCTGATTAGATAAGGCATGGACTTTGTATTGTTTGTGCAATGATTATACATGCCATGCTCAGCACTGGCTTTTACTTAAAAACCTTTAACCTGGTACAGTCAGCCAGAACATGTGGAAGATTTGTTATTAAACCCTTTGCGGTCTTGGAAAATGTGCAGTTGTGTTTGGAGGTTAACAGCACTAAGTACGATGCCTGAACCATGGGAGTAAAAAAGCGATTCCCAAAAATTTGGTGAGAGAAGTAGGGAGTGAAACAGGACTCAGAATACTATCAGTCATTCACAAACACATCTCCACTACTTTAAAAAGCCTTTTAAAATTACCTTAAGTAGTCTTGGAAAATAATTTCCTTGGGTAGATGAGGCCCAGTTTTGAAGACCAGCATTTGATTTTTCAACCTTGGACATTACTGGGCTTCTGGTGCAATTTGCAGTCAGGACCCCTGTAAGTCGAAATGCAATTTTAAAAGAGAGCTGTAAATGTTTTCATTAGTTGAGAACCCAGCAGTGTGCAAGTGAGGAGAGATGTGCAAGAAGGTTGAGCAAGACTGACACAAAGGGCTGTGGGTAAATGTAGAATAAAGCCCAAGAAGTATGGATCAAGGCCAGAGCAAACAGGAGTTGTCAAGTTTTCCCCATGTATCTTTGAGCAATCTTATCAGTATGGTAGGGAGTATAGGTTTAGATGAAAGGCTGCCTGTATTATCTCAGGAAAATATTCAATAGCTTGGTGAGATTTTACGAAGGAGATAACACCAAGGGCCAAAAAGGGAAACATACAAATTAGTTACACAACCCAACAGAAAAGCATTTAAAAAAAAACCCTCTTATGTAAATTTACAGTATGTAAAAACAGAGTGGAATTAAAACTAGCCTCACCACTAGAGTATCTTCTCTAAATGTTAAGAATAATGTAAATAATACCAAATATTAACTGACTCATTCTAAAATACATCCGTTATTCCTGCAACTCTGAAATGCAATTTTTTTTTCCAATGGTCCTATCTTGAAATTGGAGGTCCAGGACAGAGTGTTTTCACATGCACTAATTTTGATTTTCCCCCTCATCTCAAGCTACACAAAAAGTAACACCAGACTTACTGCCTTATTTTACTGGGTTTAACAGAAAGATCAGAGGAAAGAATGCAAGCAAGGTAAAATAAATTAGACTTCTGTTAAAGATTACACCTTTAGACAGAGCAAGTATTGTGTAACAAAGCAGCACTGATTTGGGCAGCTTGCTTGCCAGGGTCTAGGCA